CTCTAATAGAGATGACCCTTTAACAATAAGGGTCTCAGAGTCCAGACTAAAGGTTTTGGGTGCTTTTGGGGATACTGAATAAACGCCAAAAGAATCACTAGGGAAGTATGAGCTAATGTTTCCTGTAGGACAACTGTCCTCTCCTTGTCTTAGCGAAAAGCAACCCCTTTGAGTAATGATATGGAATTTCACATTAATAAAACATATGGGGAAAAAACCTGTAATTTTTGAACTTCTAATCCACATTCACAAGGTATTCATCTGGTATCTTGTTGCTATAAGAAACATCCATACTTTTCTAGTTTCAACATTTAAAGCACACATGTGGTATGACTATAGATATTAAAACTATTATTTCTCACTGCTTTTAATGTAAACTTTATTCTCCAAGATCTTCAAAGATCACAACAAAGACTCCAAAATCAGGTTTCAGTCGGTTTCTAACAGTGTGTTTACACTACAGGGCTGGCATTATCTGCTCACCATGGAAGAAAACTAAGACGTTAGTTGCTGTATTGTGAAACTTAAAAATGAATTTCTCCACAATGTTTTTGGATACAGAGGTGAATAAGTGCTTGTATTAAAGGTATTATACTGCTTGTTCAGAATATGTAAATAGTTCAGTTTACTTTAAGTTTACTTTACGGACCAACTAAGCTTATCTCAGTGGATTAAAACTAGGTAGTACCAATTGGTGACTGCACTCAAAATGAAAAACACATAACACAAACAGAGCGAAGACCTTTAATGTTAGACAAGAACCATTTTTCCTCTACCACTCTAGAATGGCAAACAGAAAAATCTGAAATCTGTACCCAAGCCTGAATTTTAGTAGCCAATATATTTTTGCAGTAAGTAGTGTCATTGCACCTAGAACCATTGCAATCTAATATTATTATTCTCATTTCTATGAATAATATTCATACTCTAGGGCCATTTTCCTTCACATATTTGATATCATGCGTGCTTGTATCTCAATTCCTTTTTCATATCCTGTCACGGTATCAATCACTGCCTCCTGTCCACTCAATCCAGTTTTGATTTATCAGCCAACGTCTTTCTGGACTCCATAACTCGACCCAAACCATTTTAACGAGACAGTGACAAATAGCCCCCTGTATCACATCAACCTGTTCCACTTAGTAAACTAAGACACAGGAGCCATGACATCTCCACATAAAGTATTCCATTCCCCCGACTGATGTATATTAATGAGGAGATGCGATTTGAAATGCCTCTTCCACATCACCATCTAATATGATCGAATTAGGAAATGGGATGATTTATTAAATTTTGCTGAGCTGAAAGACTCCTTTATATCGTTCCATGTGAGGTTGGGAGAAGGGAGCTGTTGCTTTCAATTTCTCCTGCAGAGGACATATAGGAGTTTCACAGACAAATTATTGTCTCAAGGAGGCAAAATGTTATTAAGCAAATGCTCAATAACGCAAAGCTAAATCAGTTTTTTTAAATTCCTAATTTAATGTAAATCACGGTTCCTTTGCTGAAATTCAGTTTGCAATCTTATTAAGTCCCATTTGCATCATCCAGCCTCGCTCCAGGATAGTTTTAAATTCATAGAAGTAGTGGGAAAAAAAAAAAAAAAAAGCACAAGCCAAACTATTACAATATCTACCAGGACAGAAATAATTAATACACTGGCATTGGTCCTCAAATATAATAATAGTGCAGAGTATGAAAAGCATAATAAACAAAATAGCGACATTATTGGCACCTACAACAGCTTTTGTGGCAGCACCTTGCATGTCAGTTATGTAGCATCAATGCACATCTTACTAAAACTGTAAATTACCTAAGAACATTACAGAGAAGCAACCACTATTAAAATATTTATTAATTTTTAACATAATACAATCTCAAATTCCATAATTCTGTTAATATTAAATGTTCATACCTACATGCTATATTTTAAACCTAAATAAAAAGCAGGGTAATGTGTTTAAAGCAGGCATGTCAAACTGACATTTCGTGGGCCACGTGCCCTCTCACACATTCTCTGCGGCCCTCAGCGGCCTAAAGATAAAAAAATAAATAAATGTGTCCGTAGTGGTTCTTCAGTTGATAAGGTAGGCTTCCTTATATACTGCTAATAAATAATTCAGGAAATATTTTATGGCCCCTTTCTCTGGGATTAGGACTGCAGGTGAGGCAGGCCAAAGAGAAGTGCGTTCAGGGGAACAGTGGCACAGCAAAGCAATAGACTGCCATAGCAACAGATAAAGCAAACCAGTAAACCAATTAAATAATAGGGGTTATAATGGTGCTCTACAGTTTTATTTAAGAGGATGCTCAGCCTAAACATAATGAGTGTTCAGAGACTGGGTCGCACACAGGCTGTGCCACAGCTCCATGTTTATGTGTTGTAAGTAGAGGTGCACCAAAATGAAAATTTCTAAACCGAAATTTTAAAAAATGTCAGGCCGAACCCAAAAAAATTTTTATTTTGACTTCCTCTATTTTTTCATATTTTTTATAAACTTTTTCATTTTTTTATATTTATTTTTATTCATTTTTTTAATTAAATATTTGATTTTTTTACTTTACTTTTAGGGGCATTGGGGAAATATTAGGGGTCTAAACAGACCCCCATTATTTCCCTTTTAAAATAGAAAAAGAGATTGAGGACACAGTCCTCAATCTCTTTTTCTGTATCCCCAGTTATAAATAAGCAGGAATCCTCTATGAGTCTTCCTGTTCATTCATAACATGAGGACAGAGTGTGTTTACTATAACTAAAATCATGAATGAACAGGAGGTGATGTAAATCACTTCCCATTCATAATTGAGGATAGAGTAACCATACTATGTCCTCAATTATTTACATACACTCAGCGATCACTGAGTGTTTGTACCGCTCTCCTTCCTGACACACTGTCACAGGAGGCTGAGCGGTGCGGGGAGGAGAGACGCCGGCCGCTCACATCGCTCTCTTCCCGCAGTGCTCGGCGGCCTGTGACAGTTTCTCTCCTCCCCACTGGGCCACTGAGCGGCGCACAGCGGGAAGGAAAGAAAGAACGGATGCAGCACTGTATCAACCATAAAATTGCACTTTCGGCATTATGCCAAAAGTGCTATTTTCAGTCGATATGTTTCGGCAGCCGATATATTGATGCACCCCTAGTTTTAAGATGTATGAAGTTGATCAATACCTCTCTCCTGAAGATCCCATCAATGATGAAACACATTGAGTGTCAAATCCACAATGACATGACCTGTTATGCCATCAACTTTGCTTACCAATGACGGACTTGTCATACTGATCATAGCAAAGTTAAGATGACTATATGATATGCTAATTGTATATGTATTGGTGGATTTATAGGAGGTGTGTCAACCCATGTCATGGAGACTGTCTTTGTTTTTAACCTTTGTATATATGAAACTCTTTTTATACAGTATGTACAAATAAATTACGTTTTACTTATATTTGTATTGTCACCATGTGACTATCAATAAAGCCCCATTCATTTCCACTGGCTGACAAGCCGTTGATGACAACTTTCCACTATAAATCAACCCCCACTTCCCGCCGCTGCTCTGCAGCTCTCTCTACACGCTGGGAGCCAGCTGCATGCTCTGTTCTGTGTCCCCACTGCTCTCCCCCTGCCTGTATCAGGGTTTAGAGGGGACACAGGCACAGTATGCAGCCAGTTCCCAGCAAGGAGGAGAGCGCAGCTGAGACAGGCAGGAGGGGGGGTAAGCTCCTTGAACGATTACATGCGAACATCCATGGAGAGCAGTGGCGGACCTAATAACCAAAGGGCCCTGGTGCAAGATTTTATCTTGGGCCCCCCCTCCCAAGACGGGGTGGGGCGCGGGAGCGGATCACACTGGCATCCGCCCCCAGCGGTCTCTAATGTTGCAGTAGCGTAACCATGTGTGGGGCCCCCCGGACCCCTCACATGGGTACCGGCCATACCCCCTTGATGTTCTATCAAAGGTTGTGACTACGTTAGAATGTGTGAGCGGTGACATGGTCACACGTTTTAACGTAATCCCGCCCAGTTTTTCGGCAGGGGAATGTGTGACTGCCAATAGGTGAAGCATTCCAGCTCCTTTCCCAGCTGTTCCAGGGCAGATCAGCATTGCAAATCGTCCCACCTGCCACTGATCTCTACAGGTATTCTGTCCGCAGGTCATCGGAAAAAACTTGGCTGTGCCAGCGTAGAAATACTGTGATCTGGGTGGTGTACGGCCCATGAACAGCCATGTGAATGAGCCCTAATGCAGCCACCATATATAAGAACTAGTAAGCTGCAATAAATTACATTTTTGTTCTTGGGGTTAGTCATCCTGTAAAATGACAGTTGAGAAAAAAAAAAAATCTGAACACAGCCGTCGCTGCAAACGTTTTTACTTGCCAATCTATCCTGCAGCGTGTGCTGCCAAATACCACACTAATTCTGGGTACTCTTCCTATGAAGTCTGCAGAGAACAGAGACTAGAGGCTCATTCTTCTTTCATGAAGGGCAGCTTTGTGCAAAATTTCTTTCCGACAGGGTTGCTTTAGGTACCAAATTTGAAGAAGCAATGCTTAATGCATTTTTAAAAAACAAACAAACCTTGCATAAAATGAGAAAATACTTTTTGGGTAAATGCTTTTTCTTATACGACACACCTGCAAGTGAATGTCCTACTAACTAGGATTCTGGGCCTCACATTTACTTTGCTAAGCCTTAGCACCTAGCAGTGAAGGACACTGTTCAGTCTTTGTATCTCATCCACACAGACAGCAACTGATGTTACAAGGGAGTGACTACAGTTGAGTACAGATAACAGGGACAAAGAATGGCAATGCTCCCTATCCTGCTGTCCAGATTGCAACTACTGGGAAGTAACAATTTACAGGGTGTCCTACCTGTTGCAATGTTCCTGCAATGGAAAAATAAATTGTATGTTCATATTTATTTGTTTGTTTTGCAGATTTATTACTCCATGGGAAAAATAAATAGCGGATTACCTTAAAAAAACAAAAGTACCTTGATGTCCTTGATCTGTGGACTTTTCGTGACTTCCCTCTATCTCTTGACCTGCTGTGACTGCGCTTTCTCCTTGAGCTGTATGATGATTCACTACTAGAACGATGTCTGCGTCTAAAACATGAACAGATGAAAAAATAAAGGATCATTTTAAAAACTGAACATGAAAAAGTAAACGCACACAGGCTAAAAATATCCATAATCTGCACTTACTGGTTACATATAGTTGAACCTTCTTTGATGATACATCCAATATACACCTACCATTGCATATAAAGTGTACCCACATATACTTTGAGAAGCAGTTACCCGACTGCCAGTTGAAAAACAGAATATTTCAAATGGCAGATAAACATTCAAGGTATAATCATTTTACCTTAGCTACATCCCGTACTATTTTGCTGTGATGTACTAGTTATACAATAGTAATATGTCCTGTTAATATTTAAATGGTCATTTCTAAATGTGCCAGCACCCCACATGGTAATGCCTACTAGTACAGAGCAGCTACAGTTCTCTTTAAGCCTCATCTAGAGAGATCCTGTAAGAGTGCCCTTACTGTGGCTACATACTGTATGATTGCAGCAATAATAGCTATTTGACCAGTTATCACAGTGTTTGTGGCAACTGCATTAAAGTCTGTAGCCTACGATCTCTGTTGCTACCATATACCTGGGGTACTTCGGGGGCACGCCTGAGATATGATATTTTGGTTAAAAAAAACACTAGAAGGGGGGAGGGGGTCTGCCACACATGGAGATATACTATAAAGCTACGACCTTGAATAGAATGATGGACTGGTTTAGCCCTACGCGGATCAAACTCTGGGTAACCATAGAACAAGCTGAGATCTCAATACCCTTAACGTCATTACCATGGGTATGCCCAGACAAACGACCGCGGAGATGGAATCGGTCAAGCGTAACTAGAGTGATAATAGATGTATGGGACGCATTAATCACGAAATGTGATATATCATCTTATGTGGGTCCATTGACACCTCTACTTGGTAATCCAGATTTCCCACAGGGGTTGGGGGAGAAAGGCTTTTTGAGGTGGAAGACCTCGAGCCATTCTCCAATACTACAAGCAGTGAATACATTGGGTGTACTTCATCAGGAAGAACAAGTCAAGGTAGATGGCTCGAGTATTTCCAACTTAAAACATTTGTACAATTACCTGTGTTCCCACGGAGAGGGAGTTGACGGCAATTGAGAAAATGATCTTAAATAATCCCGGGGGGAAACACAGGGTGTCAAGAATATACAATATACTTCTGGAAGCGACATTCCCGCCCCCCCCCCTCCCCCCTATTATATTAGGGAGTGGGACCGAAAAATAGGACAGACTTTCTCAGAAGATGAATGGGATAAAGTTTTTTTCTTAACTTCTAAATCGAGTATTTCGGCTGGAATGCAGGAGAGGAACTTTAAAATATTAACTAGGTGGTATAGATGCCCAGTGACGGTACACAAAATAAACCCGCAAGCAACCAAGATGTGCTGGAGATGTGGATTGGAGGAGGGTACAATGCTGCACATATGGTGGACGTGTCAGGGAAAAAAGCCTTACTGGAGAATAATTTTTGAAATAGCAGATAGAATCATGGGATTAAAAATATCGGAAACTCCAGAAGTAGCATTATTGTCAATGCTCTATGGCCAGTAAAAAGCATCAAGAGGGGACTGATATGTCCTATATTGGCAGCAGCAAGGGCGATAATTCCAAGGTATTGGAGACAAATACCCCCGAGACTTGGGAATGGGTACTAGAATTGAACCACATAATGTGAATGGAAGAATTGACATCCAGTGTATATGATAGACACGGGACATTTGTAGAAAAATGGAGACCATGGATGGCTTTTCTTGGCTCAAAAGAGATCCAACAATACATGTAAGGACCCAGTGAGTTGCTTCCTCCTCTTTTTTTTGTGTGTGAGTGTTGGATTGTCCTTGCGAATGTATTGAAGGGAGGAATATGAGATGGGGAGGTTGGGGGGGAAGGGGTTAGATTGTTTTGTGAATGCGACGGGATTTTAGATAATATAGCTTTTTGATATAATAGTTGTATAAGTATTTACGATAACGGATCAGTGTGTCACGCATCTGACTATGGTTGATTAGCAATTATAGACAAGGGAATAGCGGTTAGATGTAGATGCTACTGTTATTTTTATGCATATAATTATATAACTAAATTGTATTTGGAATGTGATGAATAAAAACTTATTCTTGAAAAAAAAAAGTCTGTAGCTTTTCTTACAGGGCATACTGCTATAGGTGATCATCATAACTTAATGGCAACAACATGCCCAGTATTGCCCATGGCTGCTCTGTGAAGTGTTAGTAAACACAAGTGTTTGAGATCAGTTTTGGATACATTTGACATGCGCTTACACTACATTTACCAGATGTTTACCACACATTCACAATGACTTGTATGGAGGAATAAAAGCAAACCATTACTTATCACAATAGCTTGTGCACACCAGTCTTGGGAGTACATCACTAACATGTAGGTATAATTATTCCAACTCAAGACGAAGAAGAACCTGAAAGGAATGATACAATCTTCTGCATTTGTGATACTTAGACTGGGACGTGTTGTTGTTATAAATAAACTTAGACACGGTAGCCAGTCTTAGCAATTCAGAGCAATTATCCCATACAATTGTACCCTTTAATCTACACTCCAATCAACATTCATGCTTCTACTGGGCTAACAACAAGAACATGACAAATTCAATGATTTATTGGGAAAAAAACTATGAGAAGAGACCCATAGCAGATGGAAAAACTATAATGGGTATACTGTATATATGCCTATGTGGGAGAGGATGACATCTACACCAGAATAACTCAAATTTTCCGCTTAGATAAAACAATGCTGTTAATCTAATTCAACAAGCAACTTAATATGGCCTGATGATTGGCATCACTATATTACAGCACTTGGGCATGATAAGTAGCCAAATAAAAACAGATTGACCTTGTTCTGATGTCCGATATCTTTTAAAATTGTGGGATGTAAGATCGTAAATGGGTGCTAATGTAGACTCTGACCATCACCATGTGATAGCAAGAATAGGAGACTCCCATTTTCAACATAAAGCAAATAAGAGGCAAACAATTCTAACTTGCCACACTTCAAAATCCAGCAGCAGCAATCCAATATGCTAGCAGAATTTATGAACATCTGCTTCAGTGATCTCATGTCAAAGATAGCTTGGATCATTCAAGACAGGAGAAATGTTAAGAAACCATCTGCAAGATAGCAGAAGCCTTGCTTGGTAGGGAATCTGCATAGAAATAAGGTGCCTTGTTCAGTTTGGGGGTGGGAAACGATTACTGCCAAAAAAATGAAGATTACCTAGAAGAAAAAAAAATCACAAGCACAGCATATGGCATGTGGCATTTAAATTCAGAAAGAAAAAAGAAAAGGGGAAGAGAAACTGCATCTCTAGAAAAAGTGGGGAAAGCAATCTGAGAATAGAGGACCAATATTCAGACTGAGAAATCAGAAAGTTCTACAGGGGTATAATCAAATTGAGGAGGGAATTCAAACCAAGATTTTTCACAAACAAAGCCAGAGCTGGTTACATAGTTACATAGTATTTGAGGTTGAATAAAGACATTAGTCCATCAAGTCCAACCTTGTTATACTTACATGTGCCAACGGATTTCCTATATTGACTGGAGTGAGCCCACTATTATTAACTCCTTTTTTACTACTTTCTGTGTTATTTTTATCTATGATTAAATTATCAACGTTTAGTTTAAGTAATTTTATTTTTATACCCTCCCCCCCACTTTCTAGTTTAAAAGCTCCTCCAGTCTTTCTACCATTTTCCCTCCCAGGAATGCTGCACCTTTCCCATTAAGATGCAGCCCGTCTCGGCTGAAGAGCCGATAGCCGACTGCGAAGTCAGCCCAGTTCTCCAGGAAACCAAAACCTTCCTTCTGACACCAGCTCCGGAGCCACTTGTTAAGCTCCCTCAACTCGCGCTGTCTGTCCGGAGTGGCTCTTGGCACCGGCAGTATCTCTGAGAAAACTACCGTGGTTCTATTATCAGCTACCAACACAGCATTCCTGCATGCTGGAAACTTTGATTAGCTTCTAAATAAAGCAGAAGTCTCCCCAGACGAGAACAAGAACCCCATTTGTCAAATGGGATTCAGAAAGCTGGAGAAAGATACAGCCAATATGAAACATAAAAACAAGAAATCACTAGGCATTGTCAATGGCCCTGCATAATGTTTTAACTTTATTATTTAAAATCTCAGGAGAAGATTCTATTAAATAATTTGAAGCATCTGGAATAAAGAGGAACTGTCCAATCAGTGAAAATGTGCAATTATCCGTGCTCTTCATAAGAAAGTAGACCCAGTGGTATCTGGAAATCATATATGTATATCTCTTCTCAATATCGCAAACAAAATCTTTGCCAACATTCTTTATTTCCACTGCTTAGAATTTAGAGATGGAATCCTAGGCAATTACCAGTGTGGATTCGGCCCTGGAAAATCAACAATGAATCAGATATTTACTATGAACCAGATCATGCAGAAACCAACCAGGCAGGATCCCACCAACCTTTTTACCGACTTCAAGACCACCTAAAAGTGAAACTCCAGGCAAACAGCTTAAAACACACATAAAATACTTATATGTTTTACTTGCCAAAAGATTTGCATTTGTGTTCTGAGATTTGATCTGGCAGGGCAGACACCCTGATTTTTCTCTGCAGTAGTTCAGTAACACTTGCAGGTCTTTTTGTTCCCCCGGCCAGTGACTAGAATGTGAAAATTAGATGCACCATCGGCATGTTCCTTGTTAGCACATGAGCCCTGTAGCACAACTAAGTGGCTCATTAGTTTGCTTCTCCCTCTCCAGCCTGAGTTCTGCTGTACTGAAGATTGCAAGGAGCTAATACCAGGTCAAATTCAAGTACTTAGACTGATGGCGTTAAAAATAATTAATAATTATGTTTTATTGAATAAAGAGCCGCATTCATTTGTGTATTTCTATCTACATGGAGTACAGTTTTATTACAGCATGGCCCCTTCTAAAAAAAATAACAATCAGCTTTGTAATTGCAGCAAGGTTGGTAAAGCGGACTATGACCAAAGTGCAGTGGTCTGAAACCAGTCAGCTAGAATAGGGCTAGAACAGAACAATGCCTCTCCCCTTCAATGCTGCCCTTCGGAGTTGTATGGCAGTTTGGTGACCAGGCACAACTAACTATACTTTATAATGCGTACCAAATTGGATATGCTGTTGATGTAGACAATGTACCACACTGTGGCTGCCCTAAAGGCCTAGCAGCAGTATACTATAGCAGTATACTATACAGGAAAATGACTGCCGTTATACTTAATATGCTGGTTTTGGACTACTGAGAATACTAAAAATATTCAGGACTGACCAATGAGGACTGTAAAAATATCACCAGCTTCACAATGTGAATAATCCAGCTCACCTTTTGTCATAGGAGTGTGAACTTGAGTATGCATCTCGAGAGCGAGACCTTGATCTACGTCCAGACTTTTTATGACTACGAGTTCTGCTTTCTGATGAGCTACTGGAGGATGAACGCTTTCGATGTTTCTTCTTTTTGCGTGTCCTGGTTTCCACCTCTGAATCAGAAGAGTGGCGTCCCATTGTGTTCCTTACAACAACAAAAAAAGCAAATGTTTTGGTCATGCCCCAAACTAAAACCCTTCTGGCAAAAAGTTAGAGAAATATCACAAAAATTCACTGACTACCATACCAGACAACCCCTCTTTCTTCTTAGCGCACTCCCACCTTCACCGTCCTATCCCTCTCTCCACAAATCTCCCACATCCACTCCTCTAGCCTGCATCCCCACCCTTCCTGTTGTGTCTTTTTTCCCCCTTCTTAAGTTATTCATAGATAGAGAAGATTAGATAACATCCTGATTACCTTAAGGACAAAATACAAGACTTCGATAATACTGTACATTGCTTTATTGACTCCAAGATTAAATTCATGACCTGTTATTTTTAATATGTTGTGTATATATTACACACACACATATATACATACACACACATACATACACTGTACTGTACAGTACAGTGCAGTGCAAACGTTTTAGGGCTAGTTCACGCCAGCCACAGTGCATCCCGGACAATTGGGGCCAGAACGCACTTTTTGTTGGGGCGGGAGGGGAAGTGGCGGTGCATTGAACTCAATGGCACTCCGGCCGCACTGCAATCGGCCACACGGGAGTGCGTGGCACATCAGTGCCTGCAGTCCGGTCAGAAAAAATAGTGCTTGCAGCATTTTTTCTGACCGGTCCGGAACGCAGGCACTGATGTGCCACGCACTCCCGTGCTGCTGATCGCACTGCGATCGGAGAGCGTGGCTGCGGTACCATTGACTTCAATGCACCGCCACATGCTCTCCCGCCCCAACACAAAGTGAGCAGCCGCAATGCGATCCAGTGCGTTCAGGCCCCAATCGGGGCCCTTAGGCAGGTGTGAAAAAATGCTGTAAAGTAAGAATGCTTTCAGAAATAACAGTGTTAATAGTTTATTTTTATCAATTAACAAAATAGAAAGTGAATGAACAGAGGAATTCTCAGCCAACCTTGCACAGCGCTGCAAACTGAAAGATGGCCTGGTAATGGAAGGGATGTAACATGCCAGTACTGAAGTGGTTAAACAAGGTGGCTGTGATCTGACATCATCAATGTGTGACTTCCTCTTTTCCGACTGAACACACTGCTGAAAATGCTGCATGGTTTTTGGTCAGTTGTGGAGTATTAGACAGCCCAATGAATGGGCTGGGCTGCCCTAACACAACGCACAATAACACACATGCATTTAAACTGGGTTCACACCAGTCGCATGCTAAAATTGTCCTGTTAGTCTGATGTTGGTGTCCGCTGGGTGGCAGTGATTCCTTGCATTGTTACCACTGGTGATATTTGTGGGTTCAATGCAAACCACGTTCACCCAAGCCCACGCAAAACTGTCACTGACACAGCCCCTCCCAGCCAACAAGTTGTGGCCGGGGCATTCCCCGCCCCACAGTAACAAGTCACAAAGGAGTGGGGAATACCTTGGCCACAACTGATTGGACCGGAAGAGGGGGTGTCAGCGACAGTTTTGCAAACTTGATCTGTGTCCACACACATCACTAGTTTTAGCAATGCACCCAGTAGACACCAGTGTCACACTTAGGCCTCATTCACACTGTCCACTTGCGATTTTATCCAGAGATCTGTCTGCAAAATCTGTCAGGCTAGATGCTTTTTTATGCTTATGATTTTAGATGCATCTGTCCTTTGTCCGCTGAAGTAGCCAATGAGATTTCAGCAAATAGACGTGTTTTAAATTTACATAAGTTTGCATGCGTTTTGGTGCATTTAGAAGCCAAGACTTATTCCTGGACGCACCTAACTTTTCTAAACGCAGCTAAACTGACTGAATCTAAAAGCATCTAAACGCAAGGTGAGAATGGATCCATTTGAAATCATTAGATACATTTATATACATTTAGAAAACCATTAAACCATTGCATATAAAAGCACCTAATCGCACCCTAGTGTGAATGGACCTATTGGAAACCATTAGATGCATTCATATGCATTTAGAAAAACATAAAAAATGCATATAAACGCACATAATCGCACCCTAGTGTGAATGGGGCCTTAAAGTACCATTTTAGCTTGTGGCTGGTGTGAATGTGTGTTATTGTATGTTTGCTTGATGTAATAAACTGGGCTCATGTTGGTGAATGCTGCCCCTTTCTATTATACTGAACGCTTGGTGTAATCGACTGGGCTCATGTTGGTGAATGCTGCCCCTTTCTAACATACTGAACACTTGATGTAATAGACTGGGCTCATGTTGGTGAATGCTGCCCCTTTCTATCATACTGAACGCTTGGTGTAATAGACTGGGCTCATGTTGGTGAATGGTGCCCCTTTCTATCATACTGAACGCTTGGTGTAATAGACTGGGCTCATGTTGGTGAATGCTGCCCCTTTCTATCATACTGAACGCTTGGTGTAATAGACTGGGCTCATGTTGGTGAATGGTGCCCCTTTCTATCATACTGAACGCTTGGTGTAATATACTGGGCTCATGTTGGTGAATGGTGCCCCTTTCTATCATACTGAACGCTTGGTGTAATAGGACATAAACAAGTTGCATTCACAGTTCAGCTTCCCATACACTATACTAGAACACCCAGGAACTGTCCATCCACAATACTGTAAATACGAGAGCAGGCCCAGCCAGGTCCTCTTCCTAGCACAAGGACCGCTAGCAGCAGCTGTAATACAGCCGTCCTGCAGCCACCCACGGAGCCGGGACCGGATAACCGAGGGGAACGTAAAGGGGACAAAAGCACCGAACAGCGCGCACCACTCACCGGAAACTGCACAGGATCCCTGACCCACGCTGAAAACATACACTCAGACAGGATAAATCGAGCCAGCCCAGCTCTAGGCACAGGCAAACGAGCACCGAGCAATCGATGAGAGAACAGCTCGCTGAGCCTGTGATACAATGGAGGGGAGGGGAGGGGAGGGAGGAGAGGAGACGCTGGAAATCAATGTGCAGCGGCTCTTCCTCCAAAATGACTCTTGACTGCTGCTTTAATACACAGTGTAAACACCAACTAATTATAGTACTGTAGCGGTTCAGCCAGTCTGCTGTGTACCATGAGCACAGTGCTCCATCAATACAACTCTGACCAGTGACTCGTATATAGATGTATTACAGAGAAGTGGAAGTAATACAAGACAGGTGAGGGGAGTCACATGAACCGACCAGTCCCTCAATGAACCAAAAGCACAGTACAGAGGGATAGCAATAATAATAATAATAATAATAATAATAAAACCAAAGCACAGTACAGAGGGATAATAATAATAAACCAATGCACAGTACAGAGGGATAATAATAAACCAAAGCACAGTACAGAGGGATAATAATAAACCAAAGCACAGTACAGAGGGATAATAAACCAAAGCACAGTACATTAATAATAATAATAATATTATGATATATGTTATCCTTCCCTTTATCGTAGTCAACGGATGCAGATATTTCTTATATGGCCTTATTATAGGAACATACTGGCTGATATCACAGAGCCATTCTCCCCAGCCTGGACCAGCTGTATACACTTTGGTATACATGGCTCTGTGTAATATCAGGAGGTTGGACTCTTCTGTGCTACAGATTAAAACTGTTGTCTGTATTGTTTCAAAATGTTGTGTGGCAGTTTCTATATACCTGTGTGTTATGTGTGTATACTGCAGTGACTGTAGCGTGTAATGTATTCTAGTACAGTGAATACTGGTTATTGCTCAGTGTATGTATGTACACTATATAAGTAATACCATGTAGTGTGTGCGTGTGTGTGTGTGTGTGTGTGTGTGTGTGTGTGTGTGTGTTTGTAAATTTCTTACATGTGTGTTTATGTGTGTATTCTGCAGTGATTGTGGTGTGCAATGTATTCCAGTACAGTGGATATACTGGTTCTTGTTCACTATGTGTATATGTACAGTATATAATACTATGCAGTAGTGTGTGTGTGTGTGTGTGTGTGTTTCCTATATACATGTGTCTATACAGGAAACGCACTCTATCATAACTAATTCTGATCATTTCAAACCCTCCATGTTGGCTCTCTGCTCCCTTTATTTGGTCTTCCTATTCGGTATTCCTATACCTGGTTCACACTATCGGTCAAGTTTAAAGCTTAGTGATCTGTAGACTGTAAGCTCTTTAGCACAGTTTCTCCCCCTTTTGCAATAGAGTTCGTCACTTGCTAATGAGTTATATGCAGGCCCTTCACAATTTTGAATAATAATAATGATTATTATTATTATCACTGGTATTATTATTGTTGTTGGGGTTTGTATTATTATTATTTGTAGCAGTGTTTGAACAATAATGTTTTAGCCTTTGTTCACTATTCGTTGAGGTGGTGAAATTATTCCTTTATGTACAATTCGATTCATTGAAATGATCCATAGGTTGTGTGTTTATGTAATATGAGGAGACTTACTGCGATTCCTAATAAGTAATGTGATTATAGGATCGGACGTCCTGTGAATAATCGGAGCTACTTATAAGATCAGATCCCGTCCTCTGTGTGCACATACTATTTCATATCAGAGGCTGGTAACACTGATGAAGAGATGGATTTATATACTCTTGTGTATCTATTGTATTCCATTGTCAGGAGAGGTTATTAGAAGAGAAGTGTGCCAGCTTGGCTTCCTGGGTACTCCTGTCAATGAGGAGGGTGATATCTCAGCTCTGTCTGGTCTGTACTATTCCTATTCAGCGCCCTGACAATGACAAGGGTGGCAAGCCATCTTTGTCCCCACTCATTAATTTTTCTGGGTACAATGTTCTGTCACTAAGCAAAATGACAAGCAAAGTCTGCCCACATTCTGTACTCTTCTTAAGTATAGTGCCCTGTCACTAAGCACTGCAGGATGGCAAGCAATGCTTTTTCATTTGGTACTCATCCTGTGTAAAGTGTCCTGCCACTGAAGAGAGTGACAAATCATGTATGTCCCCACTCAGTACTCATCCTGAGTAAAGTGTCCTGCCACTGAAGAGAGCGACAAAACATGTCTGTCCCCACTCAGTACTCATCTTGAGTAAAGTGCCCTGCCACTGACAAGAGTGACAAGTCACTGCAGAGGGTGACAAGTCACGCCTGTCCCCATTTAGTACTTGTCTTGCATTCAGTGTCATGTCATGGGGAGGGTGACAAATTATATCTGCCCCAACTCAGTACTCCTCCTGGGTACAATGTCCTGTCACTGGGCAGGTTGACAAACTGTCTACCTCCACTCAGTACTTCTTCTGGGTACAGTGTCCTATCATTGAGCAGGATGACAAGCCAAGTCTATCCCCAGTAAGTACTTTTCCTGGAAACAGAGTTCTGTCATTGATAAGCTATGTATGTCCCCATCCCCACCCCTGTCACTGAGCAGGATGATAATAAATGTCCCCTTTAAATACTTTTCCTGGGTATGGTACGGCAAAGTCTATCCCAACTTAATACTCTTCCTGTGTGTCCTGTCACTGAGCAGGATGACAAGCCATGTCTATCCCCACTAAATACTTTTCTTGGGTACAGTGTCCTGTCACTGAGCAGGATGACAAGTCATGTCTATCCCCCCTAAATGCTTTTCTTGGGTACAGTGCCCTGTCACTGAGCAGGATAACAAGCCATGTCTATCCCCACTAAATACTTTTCCTGGTTACAGTGTCCTGTTACTTAGCAGGATGACAAGCCAAGTCTATCCCCACTAAATACTTTGATGACAAGCCAAGTCTATCCCCACTAAATACTTTTCCTGGCTACACTGTCCTGTCACTGAGCAGGATGACAAGCCAAGTATATCCCCACTAAATACGTTTCCTGGGTACAGTGTCCTGTCACTGAGCATGAAAACAAGTCATGTCTATCCCCACTAAATACTCTTCATGGGTGTCCTGTCACTAAACAGGATGACAATTCATCTCTGTCACCTTTTAGTACTTCTCATTGACAGCTGTTCCACTAATTCTCCCCACCCCAGATGTAGTATGTAGTAGTACAGTGAATTAATTAAAATAAAGGAAAATAATTGTTCTACATATATTTAGAAAATGTTATCAGGGGGCAAAAATTCGGAATGCTAAAAATCGCAATGCTATAAAAAATGTTTTGTTTTTTTTATATATATCTATAAAATAATTTTATATCTATATGTACAAATGTTCTATTCACTCTGCATCAAACCAATAACATGAAATAATTTATGCTCTATATTTGGAAAAATCGTTTGAGTATGCATGTGTTAGCATATGTGTGTGTCGGATATGAATTTGCATATATAGAAACACATCACACACACATTTACACTGTGTGCGAATGTCTATAGAAAGCTGTGTGTGTATAAAATCACATAAACGAAATTACACACATAAGTAGAATAAACTCTAGGTCTGGGACCCGTTCAATTAATTCATTAGCCATGGATTGGGAATTGTGCCATTGGACATGGATAGTCACGTCTGTGCTTTGTAAGATTTACAAAGATCAGGGCAATCAATAAATAATAAAAAATTAGAATAATGGATGGAATGGGATTGCCAACATTTTCAGGTCAGGTGTATAAAGATTGAGTCCCATGCTGACAGTCGTGAAACATACATATTAGTAGATGACTGAGCCAAATTAAGAATAACTGAAAATGCATTTATTTAAGTAGAAAAATTGCCCTGAGTGCTAGCAGAACCTCCCAGCCAAAGCAAAGCCATCACTATATTACTGCCGACGTCTTATTAATATTAGCAGCGCCAACACCAACGCCTTTCTACAATCCATCTGCAATGGATATTGTAATTGTTGTTTCCTTTTTTTATGTTTCAGCTGACACCCAACACGTTTTGTAGACAATATAATTCATGGGGTACTTATTACACCACAATAATAACCAATTGCAAAGGTGTCAAGTCACGAGCACACTGATCGATCAGAATTAAATACAAATACTGGATCCCAGCATGAAATTCCCAATCAATGATGCCCTTGGCAAAATGCAAAGTTTGCATGCAGCGCTGATTGTTTTTAAAGTTCCGCTGATGAAACAAGATCTTACAATGAGACAGACGCTGACCCGGGTCACTGGCCTTTGCCCTGCCGTGGTTGAATGCCCCCCTTATGGTGGTGGTGGCTCGGATGGTGATGGGTTTATGGACAAGATAAGGCAATTTAATAAGCATGTTTGATGTGGTTAAAGAGGGACCCGATTGGGAAGGGGGGGATGTGCTTTGCTCCCCTGGGCTGCAGAGAGCAGACACATGCCAGTTTGCTGGTGGCCCCTCCCTGATCCTGCCCATGTCCCCTGTGTCTCCCTCACTCAGGACAGCATGCACAGAGCAAGGCTTTAACTAAATTAATTAGGGATTCTTGTCAATCCGGGGGATTAATGGCCAATAGCAACCTGACCACAAATGATCTGGGAACCTGTAGGGCTCTAGTGATCTCGCACTGCTGCTGCTAGGATGCTACAAGGGAGAAAGGGGGATTCTTTTCCTACTTTCAAGGGGAGGTAATTTGCTGAGAACAAGGGGCAGGCTTTGCAAAGTATAAATACTGCGACTTCAATAGCACATCCCTATCTGATGTGAAACTCTTAGCAGGAAGAATTGACAAAGATCTCTAACGAGGGGAGATTGAGTGGGGTTTTCTAGCTGCTCAGCCCCCTTGATGTCTTCTGATTGAGCTTTCAGGGACCCTGGAAGGAAGATCTGCCAGGTTATTATCCGCGGCCATGGAAGAACTTACTGCTTTTGTGTCCAAGTCGTTTGATCAGAAGATAAAGGAGAAAAAAGAGATGATCACTTACCGGGAGGTGCTGGAGAGCGGCCCGGCCCGGGGGAAGGAGCAGGGCTGCGGCGGGGATGGTGTCCGGGAGGACG